GCTGGCTGAGGAATTCTGGGAGTTGAAGTCCACAAGTCTTAAAGTTGCCAGGTTTGGAGACCTCTTGCTATAAATAAACTCCTGCCTCTAAATACTGACTTCTTCTTCCACTGAAGTCTTACGGAGCGTTTTCTCGCCCGCGGGAGCGTGAGAGGCACGTAAAGCAGCACAGCATCCAATTGAAAACGAAGCTTCCCCCACGCGCAAGCGAGGCGCCTTTTCTATCCTTTTCGTAACTCCAGGAGCATAGGTGAAAGGTGAGCGAAGCTGTGGTAGCTCTCGGGAAGGGTAGTTCTTTGCGGCTGAGGAAGTTGCGGAGCCGCCAGTGACGGACGCCGCAAAGCCAGAAACGCGTCGCCGCGATGCCGAAATACTACGAAGGGAAAGAGGAGGACAGGCGGGCGTGCTCCGGGGTACGCGAGGATCTGAAGTCCTGCCTGCTGGAGTGCCCCTGCGTCATCAAGGTAGCTGGGAGGCTGCGGGAAGATGGAGTTGCTGAGGGCTTGGGCCCTTCGGCGGCAAGGCGGCTGAGGAGATGGGGCGGCGGGGTAGAGAAAGGCCCCCCCAGAGCATTTCCGTTGTCCCAAAGGTGCTTCTTTCAAACGGCAACTGGACGTTCTTTCTTTGCTTTGAAGACGTTTCGCTCCACATCTAAGCAGCTTCTTCCGTTCTGACCGACTAATAGATAGGATAGAATTCAATTCAATTCTTTATTGGCTAAGTGTGATTGGACACACAGGGAATTTTGTCTTTAGTGTATATGCTCTCAGTGTACTTTAAAGAGAATATACATTCTTCAAGAGTCAAGAATCATCAGGTACACTTAATGGTAGTCATAGGGTACAATAAGCAGTCAAATCACACTAGGAAACAGTCAATATAAATTGTAAAGATACAAGCGACAAAGTAACAGTCATACAGTCACAAGTGGGAGGGGATGGGTGATAAGGAATGATGAGAAGTTTAATAGCAATATTAGTGCAGACTTTGTAAATAGTTGAACAGTATTGAGGGAATGATTTGTTTAGCACAGTTATGACTTTCTGGGGGGAAACTGTCCTTGTGTCTAGTTGTTCTGGTGTGCAGTGCTCTGTAGCGTTGTTGTGAGGGAAGGAGTGGAAACAGTTTATGTCCAAACTATTGGACATGGTGCAAAATGGACAGATTTATATTCCTTGGGCGTCACCCAGTCAATTAGGTCTGTCTCCTGAGAGTCTGGTTGCCTTTTGAAAAAGCACCTTTGGGACAACCACCACCTGGATGACCGAGAATCTCCCATAGGCCTTTGGTGCCATCCTTTTCCAAAAGAAGAATAGACAGCCTGGACAGGGGGACTTGGCTGTGAAAGGCTGCTGGCTTCCTTAAAGAGCCGTCCCGCCAAATAAAAGTATTGGCTTCAGCATTAAAAAAAAGGTAGCCTTTTTGATCAAGAGAGTGAGTGCTTTCATGGCAGAGATGAAGGAGTTTCTTTGGGTCCTGGTAATCCGGATCATTGTTATACATTATGCACGAGAAATTTGGATTTGGATTTGAATCAACCCCTTTTCAGGACAACATCTATATCCTAGTGCAGTGCATGTATATAATTCTGAGCAAAACCTTGAACTTTGCAGAAATTACATTTGAGTATAACTAGGAGTAGTTTTCAAGTATTGATTCTTAATAGCCTATTGTGGTTCATTTTAATTTTTTCATGTGTTTAGTTTTATAGTTTCAATATCATTTTATATGTTTTAACTTTTGATTGGGGACCGTCCAGAGTTGGTTAGAAGATAGATGGCTATATAAATGTTTTAAATAAATATTTTAAGATATTCATGTGACATTTAGCAGAAGAGAAACATTTTGTGTGAAAGGGTTTTAACATTAATAGAAACAGCTGTCTTCTTTGTGTTAGACATGCATACATTGCTTTTCCTTTCCATCTCACAGCTGATGTACTTATTTCCTTACACTGCTCTTCCTGAAGGTGTCTCCTTCCTCCTTTGTTTTTAATTGATTTCATGTGTAATCCCTTTCTGAGAAGGCTATCAGGCTGCATATATGAAGAAAAGAAATATTAAACTCAGTAAATTTTGAACAGCATTTCTGATATGAGTGTAACAATAAGTTATTTCAGCTACAGAGCTGTCATTTTTAAAAGGTGCATACATTTTATGAGGGTTTACAGTAAAAAAAAGTGTGCAGTGGTCTTGTTTGGTATCTTATAAAATCATAAGAGAATATGAAAAGAAGACTAGCTACTAAAATGATGTCTTTTCTGTCCTTTCAATTTAAAAAAAATGAGATAAACATAGGTAAACAGTCTTCCTGGACCAGGGTCACTTTTAGAATGGTACAATATGTTATGAATACAAATAGCTGCTTCAGTAATTGGCCAATCATAAAATATTTACTAGAGAACAACCCCCTGCCCCAAGTATCTCTATGTTCTCAGTGGGTCTTTTGTGAAGGTCAGTGGTATTGCTGGAAATAAATATGATACTAAAAGTGGGACTTTACTTTGCATCATGCCAATGTTTATATAAGTATTCTTGTTTAAAACAGATAAATAGATCTGGTGTGTAGTAAAATAAGTGTTTGACAGCATATTATGACAAGTTGTGTATTGATTGCCTATTGCTGAATGGGATCAAAGAATTTTAATATTTTATCATACAACATACCGTTAGATTCAGTAAGAATCCAATGCAGAATGCCCATATGAAAAAGCTCAGCTTTGAGAATGGTTCTTGAAATATAAGTCCAGCCAGCCTTTGTTAATGTCAAACCTAGAAACTATTGAGATAGTCCTTCACAAATTTAGTTCCATTCTTGTGAAATTTTTTCTCTGGGCCTTCTACAGTCATCTTGAGGAAGGGTATATGAAGACAGTTTTGTTTTTCATGCAATGTTTTTTTTAAATTTACATTTTTAACAAGTTTTACTTTTTGGTCATTCTTTGCTTTTGCTTATATTGGAAACAATGTTGTGAAAGATTATGTATAATGTATAAGATAAATTTTTGCTACCACCTAAATGAATATATTGAATCTTTCATCTGGGTATCTTTTGTATCAGGAAGGGAAGAGCGCCAAACAATGCTTGAAGGAAGGACATTGCAGAGGTTTGCTAATTTCCATGTTTGAATGCAGGAGATCGTTGGTAAGTTTGTAGGAGGAACCAAGTTGAGAAAATTGCAGAAATGTAAGAGGCTGCTGCTGAGCTTGCTTTTTTGTCCTACATAAATCACTACCTTCTCTCTGCAAACTGCAAAATGGAATCTACTTGTAGAGAGTAGACAAAATATGTATATTTCATTAGATTAAGGTGATTATTTGTTCAAGACCTTTTCCTGTATTCTAAATTGCAACTTGCTGATTTTATTCTTTGTAACTCAGTGTAAGCCATTAGAAGCTCAGCCCATCCCTGGCTATGTGAGTGGAGTCACACACTACCGTTAGAGGGAAAAAATGAGAAACCTCTATTGCTTGTTAATAAACTTATTTGCTTCTTGGTTCAATTCAAGGTATTGGTCATCACCTTTAAAGGTATTGGTCATCACCTTTATACATAGAGCCAGGATATCTGAGGAATCATATCACCCCAATAAGACTAGCCCACCTCACTGGTTCCAGCAGAAAGGACCTACTTCAGATCCCATCTGGCAACAAATTTCAGTTGGTGGGGTCCAGGAGAAGAGCCTTTGGAATATTCTGTTGGAAATGAGGTCCCCCTCCCACGCATCTGACCTTCCAGAAGATCCTGAAAACTTGGCTCTGCTGCTTAGCCTGGGGCCTATTACATTGGAGGTGGCTGAGTGGGTATAGAAGATCTCCACCTCCAGACTTTTTCTATGGAATATACAACCATCAGTAGAGGCAACGTTTCTTAGTTTTTCAGCCTAAGTTTTTATTTATTTAATAAGTTTATATTGTTATCAATCTCATATACATGATTTTGAACGATTATCAATTAAAACAAAATAAATACAAGATGAAACAGCCAAAATTTAAAAACAATATAACATCAAAAATAGCTGCAGAGAACGTAACTATTACATTTGCTTATTAATCATGTAATATACAGACTATAACATTCTTAATCAACAGTAGTTTTAGAAATCCCAGATAAAGCAAAGGCGAATATATCAAGTGGGTTCTTTAAAAAGTGCATTTGTTTATTTTTGAGCTTACAAGACTGATTCAAGATAGTAATATTTATTTTTTACATCCTGCCAATCTGGACAACATAGATTTAATATTGTTTCTCCCTATGAATCCCAACACTCATTAAGAACATGAAGTCAAACTGTGTTCTAATTTTATAAAATAAAATTCTGAAAAAAAATACCATAGAAGTTCAAGTTAATTATGCATGGATGTGAAGATAATTACAAGCATGACTTTCCAAAGAAGCTATTCAAATTTGAATAGCTTTAACTGCTTATTGTATAACTGCTGAACATATTGCTTTTGTAGGCATTTTTTTAAAATGTTGAATGTACTTTTAATCTAAACTGTTTTAAACTTGGTAAAAAAAAATTAAATAGTTACCTATTTAGAATTCTTTCCAAGAAATTTCTTTCCAGGAAATACAATCTGTACTATATGCTAAATATTGCCATATTTTCTTATAAGCTTCCTAAAATAAAGCTAGTTATAGGAAGTTTTAAATAATAAAAAGTTAGTATTTATTTATATTTATTTTTTTCTCCCTTAAAGTTGGATAACAGAACAAGATTCAGAGGAATAAAAGGATACTGAAGCTGCCTTTTAAGATGCAATCTTGGGGATATTTTTGGCAGATTGAAGAACCACAGTTTTCTGGGTTTCCTTCAAAGCTATTCCTGGATGTGATATCATGAAATGATTGGCACTGTGCATACCAGAGGTACTGAATTGAAAATCAAGCCTGGCAGTTTTGTGGCTATCATATTGTAAATAAAATCTTTAACCTTCTGTTTAACCTTTGGCATTATTTTTCTAGGAACTGAAATAATGCATAGGTTGATTCATTCTATAATAATGTTTCAATATGTAATATTATTGTATTTACATTTTATAGCTTTTTAGCAAGTGTTCTGCAAAAATGCCAAATTAAGTAGACACCTTATTCTCATACGAAAGTATTGCTGTAGTTCTGGAAAAGATATATAAGCGTGGAGTCATGTAATATAATGTAAGCTGGTATCCACTGAAGTAGATAAATGTGTTTACTGCAAACATTCATGAATATCCAGATCCAACAATTGAGGTAGAACTCATTTTCTGCAAACACTGCAATTTCAGAAAACTAGGATATGCTCTCGCACAACTTTGGACCCTCTGGAAGTCATGTGAGAGAGCCATGCTCTTATGTGGCCTCCAGACTCTCAAAAATGAGTTTGTTTTATTTGCATTTCATTTTTATAATCATTTGATGTTTCTTTATATAATACATAGCATCACACATGATTAGACTATATAAAAAATAAATGAATATGTAAATAATGGTTTCTCCTTTCTTTTTGGGGGGAGAGGGGAGGAACATACCAGATGAATCAATTAGGCGTTCTCTGAATGTTTGACATACCGAGATCAAAATAATGTTCAATTCAGTTCAAACCTTTATTGTCAGAGTACACCATGTGTACAATGAGATTGGCTGAGCCTCCCTTTGGGTGCTCCCCCACAACACAATACAACTCATAGTGAAAACAAAAAACAAAATCCCTAACCCAGCGAATCCTACTGACAAACAATCCTATTGCTCCACGTGAACTTATTGCAGTGAAGTGTTAATGTGTAATGTGAAGTGTTAGTAGCACTTTATAATGCCTTAGGAAGACCACACTTGAAATATTGCACCCAGTTTTGGTCACCACGATGTAAAAAAGATGTTGAGACTCGAGAAAGAGTCCAGAGAAGAGCAACAAAGATGATTATGGGGCTGGAGACTAAAACAAAGGAAGAACAGTTGCAGGAATAGATTATGTTTAGTTTAATGAAAAAAGGACTAGGGGTGATACAATAGCAGTGTTCCAATATCTAAGGGGTTGCCATTAAGACGAGGAAGTCAACCTAGTCTCCAAAGCATCTGAAGGCAGGACAAGAAGCAATGGATGAAAACTAATCAAGGAAAGAACTAACCTAGAACTAAGGAAAAACATCCTGACAATGAGACCAATTAATCTACGGAAGGATTTGTCTCCAGAAGTTGTGAGTGCTCCAACACTGGAGATTTTTAAGAAGACTTGGACAACAATGTATAGGATTTCTTGAGCAAGGGGTTGGTCTAAAAGACCTCCAAGGTCCCTTCCAATTCTGTTATTCTGTTACCTAGAAGGCAATGATGCTATAACTCCAGCTACTACATGACAATAAATAACTAAATACCGTATTGGAACTAGATTCCCCATGTTTGCCTTTTGTTAAAAGACTTTGCGGTAAAAATGCAGCATTCCCCACACAGGTACGATCATAATGGAGCCTCAAATTTCCATTGCTAAGTAAGACAGTTAAGTTAGTTGTGCCCCATTTTATGACCTTTTTGATGCAGTTGTTAAGCAAATCGTTGCAGTTGTTAAGTTAATCTGGCTTCTCCCATTGACTTTGCTTGCCGGAAGCTGGCTGGGAAGGTTACAAATGGTGATTCCATGTCCATGGGAAAGTGCAACTGTCATAAATACATTCCAGTTGTCAAGCACCTAAGTTTTGATCACATGACTATAGGGATGCTGTTTCATAAGTATGAAAACTGGTCTTAGTCTCCACAATTGGGACCAGCATCTCCAGTGCTAAGCAACACAGTTATACAATGAAACACCACATCACCATAACAGACTTATACCATCTGTTCTGCTGTTGTTGCTAAGTGAATCAGTCAGTCTTCAATCGTGACATCACATGACCGTGACTTGTGACTTCCTAATGCATACCGATAGCATGGATATTATTTTCAATTTAATGCATAATTTTGATTGCTCTTAATATGAATTAAAAGGATTTTTTTCCTGTTTCAAAATATCCCATAGAGAACCAAACTGATGTTAAAGACTTTTTTCAATTTTGTGCAAGGCATTTGAAAGAGGCTATTCAGAAAATAAATAATTTTGAAGTGACTGTTAGGTGCAAAGATGATCGGGAACAGCTTTGAAAGTAGTTGAATGGATCTCATTGAAAGTTGAGCATAGTATAAGTTAAATAAATAATCTGAAAAAAGATGCAGATGGGATGCTTACTTTGTGCTTGTACATGTCAAGTATCTTTTGCAAATGTTTTTATCTAAAGTAATTTATGAAATATATTTTTCCATAATTTTGCTATTTTTGCAAATAACTGATAATTCAACTTGCACAATTTCCTGGTCAGATCGTATATTATGTATTTGTATACTCCCAATTTCTGGAAAGCACTGTGTATATGTGTGGGTGTGTGGGTGAAATGTCTGAGATGACGATTATAAACTATCCTGTTTGTTAGACTGGATTTAGCTACTTCCAAAATAAATTGTTCAAAAGTAGCAACACATGTCTTTTAACTTTATTTTTTTCTTTCATGTTTATTTTCATTGTATACTAATTTTTAGTCTTCTAAGGAAACAGGAAACACTAGAATGACTCAAAATTTGAAATGCAGTTTGTTTATTTGTAAAACCATTTTGAAACTTTTTCAGTGAAAGGAGCCTAAACTGATCACAGCAGAACTATAATTATTGGTTATTCTTAGGTGTGTTAAGAGAGAAAGTTTTACAGTGCTTTTTCCCTTTGTTTTATGTATGATGAGTTGTTTATTTTTTATTTTTATTTTTTGAAAATTGATTAGTTCAAAGAAGAAGAGGAGGAAGAGAACCATGGAGATTAGTAACCAAAATAATTAATTGCAAAATCAAAATATTCTGTTGGGTCACCGTGTCTACTAACTGAGGAATTCTGGGACTTTGTTTGGGAATTCTGAATTGAACACCACATGTCTTAATTTTTAGGAAATACTGCTTTCGCCTATTCTGAATAGAATCAAATTGAATCAAATGACAGAGTTGGAAGGGACCTTGATCGCCCTAATCTAACCCCCGTACTCAGGCAGGAAACCCTATACCATTTCAGACCAATAGTTATCCAATCTCTTCTTCAAATCTTCCAGTGTTGGAGCATTAATCTGGTGGTGATGCCATCTAACCCACATTTTTTAATCTTATCAAGTAGTAGGTTGTGGTCTACTTTATCAAATGCCTTACTGGAGTCCAAGTAAATATTATATCCAACAGCTCTTCTCTGATCCATTTTGTCACTTTGTCAAAGAATGTAATAAGATTTGTCTGGCTGGCATCATCAAACTAGGGCAGTTTGATTTTAAGAGCGCAGTATATGCAGCTAAAATGAGACCTGGATAACGGTGCTCAGATTCATAGGAGCAGGCATTTCCTGTGCTAACACACTATTCATTCAAAATGTGCCTCAAAGGGGGGGGGAAATCGGTCTTAATATTATTACATGTGGAGAGATGCCTAGGCCAGGGGTCTCCAACCTTGGCAACTTTAAGACTTGTGGACTTCAACTCCCAGAATTTCCCAGCCTGGCTGAGGAATTCTGGGAGTTGAAGTCCACAAGTCTTAAAGTTGCCAAGGTTGGAGACCCCTGGCCTAGGCGACTGTTACCGCAGCTGCGCTGTAAAAAGATCAAGCCACCACTAGATGGCGCTCTCCAGGAGTTACGAAATCTCTCTCTCTCTCTCTCTCTCTCTCGGCTGCCGCCTCGCGCTCATCCGGATCCCCGCAGCTGAGGCGCGCGAGCCCAGACACCCCCCCCCCCAATTGCAGGGAGAGCGATGGGGCGGGCCGAAGTACGGTTCCCGAGGGCAAGAGAACCGGGGGGGGGGGGGGGAGGGCGGCGCAAAGCGCTGAAGAACGGGAGGCGGAGGAGGAGCCTGGGTGCATTATGGCGTCATAGCTGCCCTCGGGTGTATGCGCGTTAGGGAGCCCGGGTTGCTGCAGTCGCTGAAGAAGCCGCTCGTCAAGGGTGCGCGAAGCAGAGCTACATCCGACGGGAAGGTGAGGTTTTGCAGCCGCAGCTCCTCGGACCTCAAAGGGGGGGGTGGCACGAGCCAGTCCAGCAATGTTGCGCAAGGCTTGCTGAGGAAGCTGCGGCTCCCCATTAGTCCGAGCGGGCGCCCTTGCAAAACGGGTCCTCCTTCCTCTGCTGCTTGGTTGCCTCCCGCACTCTACGGTTGCAAAAGGTCTGCTTCCTTGAGGGGAAGGAGGGAAGGGGAGGGAGGCGGGGGAGAAGTGGAAGCTCTGCAGCAAGAGTCCCAGCCGAGGAGGGTGGGGAGGGGGCGGCAGGGAGGGGAAGGAGAAGTAACGACGGCGCCTCAGCCCCGCGTCCTCTCCCCTCGCCTGCTTTTTTGCAAAGGGCTGTCAAATAAACACGGAGGAGGGCGGTTGTGGTGGTGGGGAGATGCCGCGCTGCCCCGTTTCTGCTCAGAAGGGGCTGCTTTTTTATTCCATTGTTCGGTTTTGTTGGGACAACTTGAGGGGTGTGGGGGGGGGGGAGACCGGCGCGTGACGGGTTCTGTTTTGCCTCCGGCCCGCCGATGTCGTGGGGAGGAGGACATATTTCACAGCCGTAGTAGGAAAAGGATGCTGATGGTCTTTCTCCGGCGCTGGGTGTGTGTGATCCGAGCGCTGCATTGGTCTGATGCAAACTGGAGGGCGTGCGTCGGCCAGAAATAATAAAGAGGAGGAAGAGAAGACGGTTGTATATTGGCAGCTTCAGGATTTTGGTTTGTTTTTTTTCCCCCTTTTTTTCTTTTCTAGGACATCCGGGGTTATGTTTTGCGGAATGGCTTCCCGGGAGTTCTTGCCCTGGAGCCAGGCTTTTTTTTTTTTCATTAATCTGGTTTCTTGGCATGTAACGGTAGACGATTACATTATAGGTGCCTGATTCATCTGTGAATTGATGAGATTTTTAAAGGGATCAACTTGATACCTTCCCAGGGTAGCCTTAAATCTTATGATAAAAGATATTTGTTAAAACTATTCCACACAGATCACGCGTTTCTGGTAGAGTGCTAGTCACCCAGGAGCTATTATAAAGACTAGCATAATTTTAGGCTTGGGTTACTAATTTTAAACGATTGCCCACACAGTCTACTTTTTATCCTGCCTCAGCAACAAGATCCATAGTGTTTGCTCACCTCTGGCCAATCTCAAATGAGAAGGTGCTGCTGCTAGAACAGTTCCCTTCTCTTACTGGGGTTTGCTGGGGGTTGGGGTTATCTAAAATCTTTCTTGAATTGTTGGTTTATTTTTGAACCCTGATCTGACCCTTTTTAAATGACACCAAAGCTCCAGCTGATTTATAATATCTCAGGCTATCTTGCTTGGCCTGGTGCTTGATGTTAATTTCATTTGTCACTTTCTGCTTTTTAGGATTACAGTAGGATTTTTAGGATTACAGTAGGATTTTTAGGATTACAGTA